ACTGTTTTTTACAAAGAAAATTGTAAATTGACAATCTGTTCATCATTTTACAAACTGCTTCTAAAATTTACAGCTGAAATCGTTAATTTACAAGTATGATTGTAAAAGCAAGTCTGAAAAAGTGCGTTTTCGTCCGTTGTTTCCTTACTATATAGGAAGAAAAAATGCCTGAAACGACCAAAATTTGAGGATTAAGTTAGTAAATTTAAGAATATTTTTGTAAATTGACGAAAAAAAGATGGATGATCAGATCGTTTTTTAAATTTACGAGCAGTTCGTGGTACAAATTTAACAGACAATTAATCGTAATTTCACAAAATAATCCCGAACAGTGCAGTGAAACAATCAACATCATCCAATGAAATAACAATCATACTTTCGGGGATTCAATCACTTTTTGACCATTTTTGCGAGACCACTGCTCCCAAACTATCAGCGGTCAAAGCCTTCCCGAGGCGGGCCACGAAAGAGTAGGGTCCTCAGAATAGTAAGGCGTCGGAGGCCATTGACCGCAACTAAATTGGATGCAGTGACCGCTCAAAGTCAGCAAAAACGGTGATTTTCTGAAATTCATTCACTGTTTGACCATTTTTGCAAGACCACTGCTCCCAAACTATCAGCGGTCAAAGCCTTCCCGAGGCGGGCCATGAAAGAGTAGGGTCTTTAGAATAGTAAGGCGTCGAGGGAGGCCTTTGACCGCAACTAAATTGGATGCTGTGACCGCTCAAAGTCAGCAAAATCGGTGATTTTCTGAAATTCATTCACTGTTTGACCATTTTTGCAAGACCACTGCTCCCAAACTATCAGCGGTCAAAGCCTTCCCGAGGCGGGCCATGAAAGAGTAGGGTCTTTAGAATAGTAAGGCGTCGAGGGAGGCCTTTGACCGCAACTAAATTGGATGCAGTGACCGCTCAAAGTCAGCAAAATCGGTGATTTTCTGAAATTCATTCACTGTTTGACCATTTTTGCAAGACCACTGCTCCCAAACTATCAGCGGTCAAAGCCTTCCCGAGGCGGTACATGAAAGAGTAGGGTCTTTAGAATAGTAAGGCGTCGAGGGAGGCCTTTGACCGCAACTAAATTGGATGCAGTGACCACTCAAAGTCAGCAAAAACGGTGATTTTCTGAAATTTATTCACTGTTTGACCATTTTTGCAAGACCACTGCTCCCAAACTATCAGCGGTCAAAGCCTTCCCGAGGCGCTGCCGCGCCCTGAAAAAGCGCCTTTGAACCACTAAAATAACCTAGAAAAGCCTTAATTTTGACCGGGAAATACCGGGAAAAAACCGGGAATTTCATTTTTGGAATTGAGTGGCCACCCTGCGTCGTCGTCGTTGTTGTTGTTGTTGTTGTTGTTCAGGAGGAAATTGGAATCAAGATGGAAGTGCAGTGACTAAGGCTCGGAGCCTCCGGATGCCATTTGCCTCCGCGAACTTCGAACGGGTTGGCTTGGGCAAGCGTTTCGGCAGCGGCGCCTCTCTCTCTCTCTCTCTCTCTCTCTCTCTCTCTCTCTCTCTCACTCACTCACTCACTCACTCACTCACTCTCTCTCTCTCTCTCTCTCTCTCTCTCTCTTCTCTCTCTCTCTCTCACTGCAACTCGGGTCGTCGTGTTGGCGAGCCTTTGGGCCCCTAACTTCGATTGTCTCGCCAGCGAATTTGAGGAGATAAAGTTGGTTATTTAATTATCGCCTCGCTTATCGATCGATCGGATGCGCTGCGCTGTGTGTGTGTGTGTGTTATCTTATCTGTGTGCGTGTGTGTGCGTGTGTGTGCGTTTATGTGCGTTTATGTGTATGTATGTTGGTCACTCGCTTTGGGCGGGGCGTGGCGCGGCGGGGTCCGCAAAGGCCGGCAAAGGCAGATGTGCGGGTCCCGAGTTTTATGGGCCACCGGCGCGCTGCCGCTGCTCCACAGTGGGCCAGAAGACCGGTGAAGGCGGTCAAAACCCCGGACGCGTTTTGAGCTCCAGGGTCGCTAAATGGGACTGGAACCGAACGTGTGACTCCACCAATGGATTCCTCGTTCGTAGAGCCATCCATTGATGGGGTCACACGTTCGGCTCGAGGCCCTTTTTAGCGACTCTGGAGCTCAAAACGCGTCTGGGGTTTTGACCGCCTCCCCCGGTCTTCTGGCCCACTGTGCGCTGCTGCCTTGACTCGGCCGCGGTTAGAAAGAGACCGTCAGGAGGACGTTCACCGAACATAACCGGTACTCGCATTAATTCCGGCCCGCCGGACCAAAAGCCGGCCGGAGTCCTCCGGGGCGGGGCGGGGCGGCGGCGCCAGGCACCTGCCGAGTACGGCCACCTGCCGCCCCGGAGTGACTGCCCTGCCCGGAGTCCCCGGAGCTGTCCGACGTCGCGCGTGCCGGAGGCCCGGAGGCCCGGAGGCAGGGAGGGTGGGGGAGGTTGGCCCACCTGCCCCGGAGGCTGTCTCCACGCCGCCGCTGGGAGGCTGCGCTGCGCCAGACTGAGTCTCGCCTCCGGGGCCGGAGCTTTGACCCCCGAGGCGAGTTTGTTGTTCCGACCAAAGGGTTAACAAAACTAAGTTTTAAATTTTTTTTTAAGAATTGTTCCGTTAGGAAAGTTTGGAATCAAGTTAAAATAGATAATCTAAAAAAAGAAAAACATTGGAAAATGTACCTTAAAAATTCATTTTGACATACGTTGTTTTAGGGATAGAATTTTAAGGACTTGCCCCTGAAAGAAAAGGCCAAATACTTGTTTTGCAAGGAACTCGCAAGAATCTATTAAAAATTGTTCTTGGAAAAAACGTATTCCCTCAGCGAAAAAAATTGTTTTGTCATGTTGTTAAGACTTTGAAGGGGCTTTTGACCAAAAACAGCAAAGACGGGGTGATCCTGTCGGATCGCTTCCTGCGTTGAGGTTCCCCGAAGGCCCCCGAAGGCCCGAAGGTGAAAGACAGGGTCAGTGATGAAATGGGACGGGCTGCAAGTTTGGCGGCTTTTTGGGCGCGCATCCGGTTATCCACTGATTAGCAGTGTGGTGGCTCATCACAGCGAGAGAGTCAGAGAGTCCGGCCCCCTTGTTTTTAGAAGCTGCATCTAATATGCGGCTTTGCAAGTCCAGAGTCGGCGCGGAGGCGTGAAAGCTCGTCTCGGAGGCCCTAGAGGGGCCCGGGCTGCCGCTGCTGACGCCTGGAATGTAGGAGTTAATCCAGCGGCATTCGCACCTTGTCACACACACACTGACTCACACGTGTGTGCACACTTGGAGGGAGCCGCGGAAACGGAGCGGCAAGAGTGTTTACTATTTTTGTGATGAAAGTAACATGTTTCTCGCCGTTTGTGTCGAGGCACGTGCTAACGCCACCTGCGAGATAAATTTGCAGAGCCACTGAGGAAACTGGCGTGGGGGAATTCCCTGTTGCTTGCTCGGACATGCTGAGGACTCGTGAAAATGAGTGACTATTTCAAAAATGGTTGGTTTCTCAAGTAAAAATCGAAACAAATTTCAATTTTCTAAAAAAAAAACACCTCAGAGATAAAAGAGAACAGAAGTTTGAAAATTTTGGTCCGTGAAGTCACGGAAATGTTTGCGAACGGTGTTACTTTTTCGAAACGCTTGTTTTCCGAAATTGTACTAGTACAAACCGACGTCTTCTCTGTGGAAACACTCTCCTACCCTTCTTTCTTTCTAGAAACTTTCTTCTCCCCACACACTCCCTTCTACCTTCGGCACTCTCTTCTTCTTTCTTTGTCTTTTTCTAGTGCTAAATAGCGCACACACCATAAATAAGGCTGTCGAACGCGTTCATTGTGGCGCGGGGGCAACGCGAATTCCTCTCTCTCTCTCTCTCTCTCTCTCTCTCTCTCTCTCTCTCTCTCTCTCTCTCTCTCTCTCTCTCTCTCGCGCTCGCTCGCTCTCTCCGTGACCCGCGGGTCGGCCGCTGCGCCGCTGGGGAATCCTGTATGTGACCCGGTGCCCTCCGGCTCGCCCCGGCTCGGCTCGGCCCGACCCGACCACATATTATCGTTATTAGCGGGCCACGGGATTCGGTTAGTGTTGCTCTCTCTCTCTCTCTCTCTCTCTCTCTCTCTCTCTCTCTCTCTCTCTCTCTCTCTCTCTCTCTCTCTCTCTCTCTCTCTCTCTCGCCGTGCCTTACCAGTGCGATCGGCACGCCGAAAGTCCGGCCGGGATAAGTGCTACACGGGGCCCACGGGGGCCACGCCGCCTCGCCACGCCCCCACACGAGGGTTGTTTATTTTTACTGTTAGGCGCTGCGTTCGATTTTCGAGGCAATGAGGTGCGTTATTCGACTTTCATCGCGCCGAGCACTCTGTGTGTGTGTGTGGTGTGTGTGTGTGTCCAGTCGAGTTTTTGAAACTGAAACACGTTCCTTTCAGTGTAATAACGGCGTGTCACACTCGGAGTGGTCGCGCGCCTTGTATGGAGGAGCCGTCCTTGAGACGATAGAAAGAGAGAGAGAGAAATTCTATTTTTTTGACTATGCTGCCAGTGCACTTGCCGATTTTTAGATCAAAAATTTCAAAATATTCACCTAAAACATGAAATTTAAAAAAATGAACCTGAACTGAAAAACCATGTTTGCAATTAAAACAGTTTCGCAACAAAGAAAATATAAAAATTACAAAGTGATTCATGTTTTGAAAAACTTGCTCTTTTTGTCGGTGCTGTGGGAAAAGCGGCGGCCAAGGCGAAATTGGTGCCGGTCGGCGCGATGATGGACGAGGATGGAGATGGCTCTTCTCGCGTGCCGTGTTGGTTTTCGGAGTCACGTACTGCTGGGCCCGGCCCGCCGGCCCGGCCTGGCCCGCCCAGGCGGCCGATAGGCGCTCCCTAGGCGCCGCCGGGAGTCTGGAAGCAGTTTCCTTAATTTTTTCCCGGCGTAAATCACTGGCCGCTTATTAATATGCAGATCCGCGTGGAAATCAATCTGGCAGTGTGGTGGACTCCCGGGCCGAAAGGAATACTACGCGCAGAAGATGACTAACGTTTTGTTTCTGTCTTGTTCCAGGTGAGTTATCGCGAGGCAGATGAGTCCGGAGTGGCGCGACCGGTGAGTCTGCGGTCGTTGATCCGGCCCGGATTAGAGTGACCGGAAGGGAAGGGTTGGAGCAAAGCCCAGCAGAAATTTCCACCAAATTTTCAAATTTTGTCTCGTCATTATAAGAGATTTTTTATTTAATTTTGAAAATGTTTCGTAATATTTTTAAGTTTCTGGAGCACTGAATTTTTTTCAGTCCGTGTCCAGCTCTTGAGATTTTTTTAGGCGCGAAGTAGCTTTATAGTATCCCCAGGATTCAGCCTGGCCGAGATTCAACTTTGTGCAAGTCGAAAATTTGATGAGACTTTGCAACGTTGTAGAACTTTGAATTTTACTGTTGAAATATGGTCAAAAAGTGTTTTGTGCGTTTTGAGAATTTTTTTTCTGTTGGTTTTGCTGGACAACCGAGAAAAATTTTCACCACACAGTGCGAGAGAAGGCGGTCGTTTTGCTCGACCCCTGAGGAAAGACAGTGGCTTTTGCCAGGCCACTGAGGACTGAGGGGGGAAGATTCTGCCTTTTTTTCCACGCCACTGGCTCCGCGGGCCCCGCCGTCTGGCCCTGGAAGTGCCCGCCCCGCTGCGCGCTGCCGAGCGTCGCCGAGCGTCGCCGTGGCGTCGCGACGCCGCGGTCTCGACGCCGTGCTCGCGACGTGACAACGGCCGTATCGGCATCGTTAAGTTTTATGGGAGGACGGCGCTCGGGTCCTTCGGCACCGCGGTGTGGAAACCACGTGAGGCCGAGGGGGTGGGCCAGCGCCCCGCCCAGCGCCGCGCTCGACGACAAGGTGGACGGAATCCTGGATAGTCTCGGCCGCTAATGTAGAGAAACTGTCGACGTTTCGTCGGATTCGTTCTGGACGCTACATCGGCCCCAGTGGGCCGGGCCCCGGCACTGTAGGGCCCCTGGACCCCGGCCCAGCCCTCGGGGGCCCTCAGGACCTTCTTTACGCCGTATCGGGCTTCGAGGAGCAAAGGGCCGAAAGGGCCCGACGACACGAGCGCCCTTTTCGGCGTCCGACTGCTGTCACATGAACTTGACACCAAGCCAGCCACCCAAGGCGCTCGCTCTCAGTGTGTGTGTGTGCGTGTCAGTGTGTGAAAAGCGGATAGAAGGGGTATTATTCACACACACTCACACACACACACATACATGCAAGCCAATAACAATTGCAGGTTTTGACTTATTCCCGTAACGTGATAAGGGACGATACGAATTCAGCCGCGTGCCTGAATGGGTGTGTCCAATCATGGGCCAGCCAAGATGCGCCGCGCACACGCAGACACACACAGAGTTAGACTCACACACACACACACACACGAGCGTGCAGCGAGGCACCTGCTGCGGGTCACAGTGGGCGAACGTATATCTGCCATACGCACTCACACAGACACACACACACACAGACACAGCGTATGCCTCGGCGTCACGTCACGAGCGCCAGCCAAAGCAATTAGATTTACCTCTCACACCTATACCATACGAGTAGCTGTACTGCTGCGGAAGAGAGAGAGAGAGAGAGAGAGAGAGAGAGAGAGTATGCATTGGTCAAGCGCGGTGCGGTGGTCCGGCCAGCCGTGACCCTTTCCCACGGCCGCAATGCTAGTGTGTGACACAGTGTCACACTTTTCGTTTTGTCACCTTTACTGCAAGAGAGAGAGAGAGAGAGAGATTGCAAGAAACTTTCCCCAGAAATTGTGTTACTTTCTTAAATATTATCATTTCATTTTTAGTTTTTTTTGTGTTTTTTTTTTTTTCAAATTACGTATTTTTATTTTTTTTTCAATTTTCTTTGTTGCAAAGTTGAATGCTATTTTTTGTAATCTCTGAAACATGCTGCAGTTCCAAATATGTGGTTGGGCAGCCGCCCCACGAGTGAGTGGGGCAGCGCAGTTGGCAGGGTAGTGAGTCTTGCTCTTGCACTCATTTGCTGATTTATTCGTTTCCCAGACCAGACGAGATATAAAGTGTAAACAGGCAGGTGTGGCTGCGGTGGCGATTGGCCAAGCGGGGTGTCGCCATCGGCCCTACTCTGTCAAAACAATTAAAAACGGTCTCCAAAGGCGCTTGAGTGAGTGAGAGCGAATCCCGTTCCTCGCTTGTTTTCGAGTGGACTGGGGGGCGCGGCGGTTTGAACGCCCAGACAACACAAAGAGCTAATTCGTCCTCGTTTACTCGCTCTCCGTGATTTCCCCCGGCCTTCCCGGTTGGCAGTGTAGGTTTGTTAGCGGGACAATACGGAACAGAGCTGGCCGGCGCGTTCCATTTGATTGAGACAAATTTACTTTATGTGCCAACATGCTGCCTCGCGGGCTGTCGCTGGCTGGCTGTACACTGTGTGGGCAGGGGAAGCGCCTCTTCAGCGCTGCTGCCTCTGCCTGCACGAACCAACGAAGTGCGGGCAAGGGCACTGTGGCGATACCCCGTGCCACAGCGACCGTCGACGGCGGTGCCGCAGGGCGCGTCCCTCGCGCGTGGAGTATCGACAGGTTGGTTCGAGGGGGCAACACTCTAGAAATCGTGTGTCCCCTTGAGCGCTAGAAATGTCTAGAAATCTGAAATCTTGCCCTAGAAAAGGCTGAAAACAAGCAAAGTTTTATTTTAGGCGCAATATTGGTTGAAATCCTGTGAAATCCGACGAAATCTTCAGCGTTCGCTAAATGGGAATCGAACCGGACGTGTAGCCCCACCAATGGATTGCTCTCCGAACGAGGAAGCCATTGGTGGGCTCGAGGCCCATTTAGCGACCCTGGAGCTCAAAACGCGGCTAGAATTTGCTCGTTCGGAGGGCGTGGGGTATCGACGGGTTGGGTTGGTGGTGCGCGGGGTAGCGTCGACGCGAGCACTCTTTCTCCCCGTGGGCTGTGCGCGGCCCGGCGGCCCGGCCAGGCCCGACGCTTCCCCGCGGTGACAAGACAGTCCGGGGCGGGGCGGCTCTACGAGACTGCCTGTCGCCCCGGCCGCGGAGTGCTCGGGTTGCGATGTTGCCGATTAGACTTGCTAATGGTTGTGGCCCACCCCTCTCCCCACCCTTCCCCCCTCTCCCCACCCCTTCCCCCCCGCGGGCGCTGTCCACCGGAACGCGATTCTGTTCACTTTGTTGAATCTAAATTGCCGCCTTGACTGTGCCCCCCCCCCCCTGGAGTCCCCCCCCCTTCCCCCCACTCTCCTAGGAGGGCTCACGAAAACCCACTTGCTGCTGTGGAAGTCACGCGAATTATCAGAGCGGGTAGCACCCCACGGCCGCGCCGTTGCGCACGGACCTGCATCAAGTCAATTTTAGGAGCATGTCCATCAAAGCTACTATTTTTCAAAAAAAAAAAAATTATTGTTCTAGTATAGCTTTAAGAAATTTATCAACAAAAATTTATTTAGATTATAAATGACTTTAAGAACTAATAGAAATTGTTCTGAAAACGGCTTAAAAAATCGCACATAAGTTTCCAGAATTTGTTGTCAATTTACTGGAAGTTGAACTGAAAGCCACCAAACGACGACGTCATGAGGCTGTCCACCAAAAGCGGACGTCGCTCCCCTTCCCTGTCGCGCGGGACACCCGCCGCGCAGCCCGGCGCACCACAGTGGGCCAGAAGACCGGTGGCGGCGGCCAAACTCTAGACGTGTTTTGAGCTCCAGAGTCGCTGAACAGGACTCGAACCGCACGTGTGACCCCACCAATGGATTCCTCGTTCGGAGAGCAATCCATTGGGGGTCACACGTTCGGTTGGAGTCCCATTTAGCGACTCTGGAGCTCAAAACGCGTCCGGGATTTCGGCCGCCTCCACCGGTCTTCTGGCCCACTGTGCTGCGCAGTCCGGCGAGGCGCGTGCTGGACTTGGCGCGGAAACGCGTGCGGAGTGTCATGCCCTACATACGGCCGTCTCGCCGATGGTGAAAGTGAGCTTCGATAATCACTGGCCGTGCCAATAAACTCGTTGTTGTGATAGATAGCAAGTGGTAAACACGGCCGGAGTAGTTTCCGACACGATCTCGGACCTCGATAGCCGCGCCATGGCTGCGCGCGATAAGTGATTACCAAGCCATCAAATTTGCATTAATTGGTTAACTAGATATTGATGAGACGCGCAGTGACACACACACAAACACACACACGACTGCTAACAGGTGGCCCGCTCCGGCTGGCCGGTCGGCAGTCTGGTCGCCGGCAGCGTGCGTAGCAAGGATTATCACAAGGTTATCAGTTAGCCTGCGTTGGCTTTCCTCAATATTTTTTTTTTAATTTTTCTTTCCCTTCCTCGGTTGCGTTCTGTTCCTGGCTGATACGCGTTATCGGCGGCGTCCCTGGACGGCGCGAACCCGGCAGGCTCAGTTGCGGGTGTAACGGCCACAGTGGGCCAGAAGACCAGTGGAGGCGTCTAAAATTGTAGACGCGATTTGAGCCCCAAAGCCGCTCAACAGGACTCGAACCGAACGTATGCCCCACCAATGGATTGCTCGTCAAGGAGTCCATTGTCGGGGTCAAGCGCTTGTGGAGTTCCGGCCGCTTTCAAAATGCGATACAGCTCAAATTTAGTATGATATTTTCAGAATCAAGCGCAAATGTTAGTTGTTCTAACATATTTTAGCCTGCAGTTATTATTCATTTCAAAAGAAAATATTGAAATTATTTTTTCCAGTCCTGGGCGCAACTTTCCGCTGGGTCCGCCTGGCGCATTCCAGCGCCGGAGTCCGGCTGGAGTCCGCGGACCTCCACTGGAATGTCGGAAGCGATCCGCCTAAACACCTCATTGCCTGTTGGCATAATTCGTCATTGTAGGCCGGCCGCGCTCGGCGGGGCGTGGCGCGGTGGGGCGCTACCTCTCTCTCTCTCTCTCTCTCTCTCTCTCTCTCTCTCTCTCTCTCTCTCTCTCTCTCTCTCTCTCTCTCTCTCTCTCTCTCTCTCTCTCTCCACGGCGGCCTCCAGAGTTTCTCCGCGAAGTGCATCATCTCGTTCGGACTGGACGCACCACAAGCACCGCGCAGGTTATACGACCACGTCGGGACTAATCGGA